TAACATCAAAAAACAATTTCTAGTTCAAAGAAAAAAAAAATNCACTAACTTCTTGTTGAGTTTCCCTCTTTGTCGTAGGCCCAAAGACATTCAGATTAGGCCCACGACAAAGAGGGCTAGAAATTTTTTTTGGGTCAAATCCGGGTGAAAAGGTTTCAAGGAACCACCCCCTCCCCCAAACACCCAAAACAAAAAAGAAAATTTTAAAAAAAAAAATTCAAAGATATTTAATGGGCCAAGATTGGCCAAGTCATATTTTGGGCCCTCCCTGAATTGGGATGGATTGGCCCAGTCCGAGCTGGTGCTGAAAAGGTCCATTCTTGNGTTTCCCTCTTTGTCGTAGGCCCAAAGACATTCAGATTAGGCCCACGACAAAGAGGGGTAGAAAATTTTTTTTGGGTCAAATCCGGGTGAAAAGGTTTCAAGGAACCACCCCCTCCCCCAAACACCCAAAACAAAAAAGAAAATTTAAAAAAAAAAAATTCAAAGATATTTAATGGGCCAAGATTTGCCAAGTCATATTTTGGGCCCTCCCTGAATTGGGATGGATTGGCCCAGTCCGAGCTGGTGCTGAAAAGGTCCATTCTTGGCATGGACTTGGTCTGCTATTTGAATTAGACTCAGGTGCTAATTTTTTTTTTTTTTAATAGACTCAGTAGTGTTTTATCCAGACTAAAATATTTGAGATTAGGGGTGTGCATTACAAACTCGGGTGCACTGTTGAGCCAGGCTATGTGCCACCCCTATTGCTAATTCTTCCTACGGATGCTTAAATCTATGGATCTGAACTTTTGTAACTCATACCATATCTCTACCAGAACTGGTCCTAGGATTGCAGGCTTATTCCCAATGATCTCTCAAGAGCTTGAAGCTTTTTATTCTGTCCTTTAAAAATAGCCTCATCAAACCCCTTTTTGGTGGGCCATTTTGATGGCCTCCCTCTATGCAATCATTCCTACTTCCAGGCATGAACCCCCCCTAGTTTCAATCTTCCTGGATAAGCCAGCCACAAAAACTCATATCGCCTCTCTTATAACTATTTCCACTCCAATTGTTGCTGCTGATTGAAACTGCTTTGAATATGAATGAGACGTGTTATTAGAGAAAGAGAAAATTGTTATTTGGTCAAGTTATCACTGATGTGAGCACGTGAATGAACATATGAATATGTTACACGCGTATATGTAATACATGTGTAACATCAATGTTATCAATGAGAGAAAAATTTTTGGTTACAGATAAGATGAAGGTTTTTTGGTTATTGATAAGATCTTGATTCTTTTTCAATATGATTTAAAACTCTTCCATAGACTAACTCAAATGGTATTTTCAATCGTCTCTTTTGATCGGGTGTTTGGCCAATTACCAGGACATCTGTACAAAAAAAATCATTTTGAACTTAACTGCATCGGGTGGATTTTATTAGGAAGCACCCATTGACCGAAATCTTTTGTATCAAGAGGTCTAGGTNCACCGAAGGCTTCCCCTCCTGGGAGCACTGAGTTTTCCCCTCTATTTCCCTCCCATCATCAGTCTGAACACAAACTCATAAAAAGAATTAGTGGACAGCTAGAAAATATTTGATTGAAAAAAGTAAAGGGCAGAAAAGATAATATGCATCTTCTCTTGCTCTCTTCCAAATCAAGACACTTCCTGAAAAATGCTTTTGAGCAGCTTGATTTGAAAGCAACGTGGTTGCTTGCTACTAGCTTAAAAAAACTTTGTTGCTTGCTTATTGATAGAATTGTGAGCTTAGTATCAAATTGCTTTCACCCTTAAGGACGTAGCGGAAACCATGCCATCGAATCCTGCTTCCATAACAAGCAGTCATTCTGTACCCCAAATATCAAGTGGCATATGCCAATGGAATCCACCTTCCACAACCTGCAATTTTGTTCTCCCTGAGCATCAGGCAGCTTATGTTGAAACTTCTTACTAAGAAAGCTGAGTTGATATTGAGCAGGAAGAAAATTACAATGAGGNAAATGAACACATTCGGCTTTTAGTTTAGGCAGGATTACAACTTTAAAATTGCATAGGGCGAGTAATTTGATTCAATCCGAGTCAGGCTCAGCAATCCCGTCGAATGAGGTGCGTTCGTATCGAGTTGTAATGGATTCTTGTTAAAAAATATTTCATTTATACTTGATTCGTTTATTAATGCGTGTCTAAATGAATTGTGTCATATTAAGTTCGTATTGTATATGAATAATGTACAACTGATATATAAACAAATTACATTGTGTATTTCTTCTGATTAACTTCACTTATACTTAATTCGTTTATTAATTGTGTCGTTCTATATCAGGTCAACTCATTTACTAAATGAACGGTTTAAGGAAGACTCAAACTCTTTAATTTGTTATCATATTCGTATCGTGTTAAGAAATCATGTCATATTTTCACTCCTGTAATCTAAGTGGTGTCCGTATCAAATACTCACAAAAATAAATAAATAAATAAATAAATATATATATATATATATATATATATATATATATTTATTTATTTATTTATTTTGACGATGGGAACACATTGAACCCATCCCTATAAAATGACCTGAATATTAATAATCACCCATTAACCCCACTTGTACCTTCCTTCGAATCACTTTAACCAAACAATGTGTGCTTTATCACAACATCATATTCGGGAGGTGGTATGACCAAAAAAAAAAAAAATAAATAAATAAATAATTGAGAGGGGTGGGCCAAGATTCAGTTAGTACTTTCGTATAATATCAAAATTACATAGGGTGAGATTGTAATTTAGTTTTACACGTGTCCACTTAAAAGAGCGCTTTTTAGACACTCTTTGCACTCGAGCGAGTGGGTCTAGCGTTGCTAATTGACTATGTCTCTGCCATATGGCCCATATGGAAATAACACAAACATGTGTGTGTTTGTGTGTGTGGGCACAGAAAGCTTCTAGCTTTTTCTGTCAGCAGGATCCACACGGTAAGGGTCTTTTCTTTCTTCTTCCACGAGTCATCAGAGTCTCCGAAAACCCACTATTAAACAATTCCCTGTTCTAAACTATCGACAAGTTCTCTTGAATTTCTGGGTAAGTCTTTCTCATCTGTGTTCAGTCTCTCGTTTGTTTTGTATTTGTTCGTTAGTTCTAGTACCTTGTAATACATCTGTTTTCAGAAATAGTTAATTCAGATTTTGATGGTTCATTCCACTATGTTGTGTTTTTTTTTTAATGGTCTATTGTCTAATTAGTTTCTGAGAATGGACTTAAATATTGTGAATTGGACTGTGATTGTTCAGATTTTTGATATTGCTGATAATGGAGTGCTTAATTGTTAATTCTGAGGTAGTTTGACTGTAATTCGTGATATATATGTTTTGCCCCCAGAATTAATCTGACTCAAATGGGGATTGTTTGTTAAATTCGGGTTGCTGTTGATTCTTTGATTTCCTGNTTTTTCCAGCTATGTGGGTGATTAAGAACAAGCATACGGTGTTTTAACTACCAAAGTTGTGGAGGAACTGGATTTGTCAATGATTAAGCTTGGCCACCCAGTTGATGCTCCACCGAAGGCTTCCCCTCCTGGGAGCACTGAGTTTTCCCCTCTATTTCCCTCCCATCATCAGTCTGAACACAAACTCATAAAAAGAATTAGTGGACAGCTAGAAAATATTTGATTGAAAAAAGTAAAAAGCAGAAAAGATAATATGCATCTTCTCTTGCTCTCTTCCAAATCAAGACACTTCCTGAAAAATGCTTTTGAGCAGCTTGATTTGAAAGCAACGTGGTTGCTTGCTACTAGCTTAAAAAAACTTTGTTGCTTGCGTATTGATAGAATTGTGAGCTTAGTATCAAATTGCTTTCACCCTTAAGGACGTAGCGGAAACCATGCCATCGAATCCTGCTTCCATAACAAGCAGTCATTCTGTACCCCAAATATCAAGTGGCATATGCCAATGGAATCCACCTTCCACAACCTGCAATTTTGTTCTCCCTGAGCATCAGGCAGCTTATGTTGAAACTTCTTACTAAGAAAGCTGAGTTGATATTGAGCAGGAAGAAAATTACAATGAGGATTGTGTCCTTTAATATTATTACTGGATTTAGGTCACTGTACAGTATGTTATACAGATCATCAGATCAAGCCATTTGCTGGCAATTTAAGTTAAGCTGATCTGATGACATATACTATCATTCGTTAACATGTGTTTGTTAGATTTCTTCTTCTCTTTCCCCATGGAGACAGGCCCATGGCAATGAATTATCAACTTGAATTGAGGACATGTCATAACTCTTATGTTTTTGATGTGCCGTACAGTAGTTTTGGTTTTAATTTTATGTTTTATTGTATTGCAAAGTATCATAGTTGAGTTTTTTTTCCTTTTTCCTGTTTTTCTTGATAGTACCACTTAATTGAGATGCTTTTTGCAACATAAAGAGAATAACTACTATGGTAATCTGACAACAGAACAAGCACGAGTGTCTCTGTCAGAAATTTTGAATTATTGGTAGATATTTGAAGACTTTTTTTTCGAGCACTTGCTTCTTCACCTGAAAAAAAGCTATATTTACCCGTATTCATAATGAACCTCACNAAAAAAAATAAATAAATAAATAATTGAGAGGGGTGGGCCAAGATTCAGTTAGTACTTTCGTATAATATCAAAATTACATAGGGTGAGATTGTAATTTAGTTTTACACGTGTCCACTTAAAAGAGCGCTTTTTAGACACTCTTTGCACTCGAGCGAGTGGGTCTAGCGTTGCTAATTGACTATGTCTCTGCCATATGGCCCATATGGAAATAACACAAACATGTGTGTGTTTGTGTGTGTGGGCACAGAAAGCTTCTAGCTTTTTCTGTCAGCAGGATCCACACGGAAAGGGTCTTTTCTTTCTTCTTCCACGAGTCATCAGAGTCTCCGAAAACCCACTATTAAANATCGTGAAACGGCGGTTCAAAGTCTATTGGGATATTCTCAGCTTTGTAAATTGCAGTAACTACTTAATTGATGATTTTGAAAGATCATGCAGCTTTATCATCACCCGTATTCCTTGGACAGCCAGAAGGTGAGGCTTGCTCTGGAAGAAAGAGGCGTCGATTACACGTCATACCATGTCAATCCCATCACAGCCAAGAATATGGACTCATCCTTCTTTCGGATGAATCCAAGTGCTAGACTTCCTGTTTTCCAATATGGTTCCCACATCAAATTTGACACTATAGAGATAATTCAGTAAGTATTGTACCATTGACATTTACTTTTCATGGTGAGGGGGGGGGGGGGGTTGTTTGGAAAGCAACTTCATAATGGAGTGACTAAGATTAGAGCAAAGTCTTCTCCAATAACACATTTGAGATTCCCGTGGGCATATTGGAAAAATGCAGATTTTCTTTAAAAGTAAGAAAAGCTACACGTAGAATTACTGTCAACTGTTAAATTGAACTTCCTATGCGGCGGTGCATGAGTTTGAAACTTGTAGAAAAAGCTCAACTTAAAACTATGGACTTTAAGCTTAGATGGTCATGTTTAACTTTTTTCTTGGGGGCAGAGACAGGAAGATATCATTGAAATTGCTTCCAATCACTTTTCCATTGAATACAAGGAATAATTCAGAGTGATTTTGAAACTCACAGGTATATAGAAAGAATTGCTGCAGTCTCTTCTGGTGGCGATAACATGATCCTTAGTGGCAGAGAAGAAGTTGAATGGATGCATAAGATACAAGAGTGGAACCCAAAGTTTTTCACACTATCTCATACCCCTGAGAAGTATCGCATCTTTGTTTCCAAATTCATCAGGAGAGTGGTAATTGCTCGGATGGCGGAGTCCCCTGATCTAGCAGCTGCTTACCACCGTAAGCTAAGAGATGCATATGAAACAGAAGACAAGTTGAGAGATGCTGAAGTTCTGAAACGGAGTGAGGAACATCTGATAAGGCTTCTTGATGAGGTGGAGACTAAATTAAACGAAACATCATATTTAGCAGGGGAAGAGTTCACTTTAGCCGATGTAATGCTCATTCCTGTGCTGGCTCGACTGGTACTCTTGAATAAGGAAGAGGAGTATATTAACACCCGGCCTAACATAGCTGAATATTGGAATGTGGTGCAGCAGAGGCCTAGTTATCGAAAGGTCATTGGTAGGTACTTTGATGGCTGGAAGAGGTACAAAACACTACTAAAAACATGGTGCTTTGTGCGTATTAGAAGCATGCTAGGAAGATACTGATAAAGACTGGCACCCTGCGAGCAGCAAGTGTACAGTACATAGGGAAAAAGGAATGACTGGCAAGATGCAATAGAAAGGTTTGATTTGCAGTTCAAATTGTATGTAGTAGTTCTCTTTTTGATTTTTGAGTTGGCGAAATTAAATTTGGATTGTTTCGCAGGTTGATAATAAACAAGATGCATTTTTACCCTTTTGATTATCTGATTTATGCCCTTTAGCCAAACCCCTGGTAGGTTGGAAAGCATTTGAACCTATAATCTTCGGAGTAGACTACCGTACCGAAATTCAAAATTTCAATACCATACCGAAATTTACCATATTTGTAATCACTTTTACCACTGTTGTGGTACTCAAAAAAATGGTAAAAATATTTATCACAACAGTAGTAAAAATATCAACAAATGTGATAAAAATACTTACAAATGTGATAAATTACCTACAAAAGTTAAATTTTTTTATATTTAAAGAAAAGTGGTAAAAATAGTTATCATAAATGTGGTAAATACATCCACAACAGTGGTAAAAATATTCACAAGTGATAAATTAATCATAAAAGTGATAATTTTTTTAATTGTAAAATGATCCACAAAAGTTATAAAAACACTATTTCAAGTGGTAAATTTTTTGGATATGGTAAGTCAAGTGCATAATCTTACTATGAACCACATGCAAAATCTGTTGCACATTGAGATGCTGTGAAATATTTTTCATCTGTACTCTCTATTTTTAATCCAAGATAGGAAATCTTGTACAGGTTATAATTCTATGTTTGCAGTAATCGTTGTGTTTCGTTTTAATCTCAAATTTTCTTTTCTCTGTATTTAAACTTGAAATTCATGGAGAAGTGTCTGACTTCAGGTGTGTTTCAGCGTTTGTATGTGTGTGTGCATGCACAGGGCGTGCGTGTGTATGAGAGAGAGAAAGAGGAAGTAAAGTTGGTGTTTGAAGCATACTTTTGTTTCAACGGGTTGATGCCCACATGTTGCACGGAAATCATTTTGAATATCATATGTTCCATATTAGTGTTATAAATATTATGAAACGATATCAACCACAACACCAATTTCTACAATAGCTGATTATATAATGTAGTCTTTAATTTAAGATGCTACAAGCAATTAATACATAACCAATTTATATAATGATTCACGTTACATGTGAGAAGAAAGACAAAAATTATATCAAGAAATGAAATAATTAATGACATATATAGTCAAGTCAAAAATTAGTAATAGTAGCTTCAATGTGGGATCATTTCAAAGTTTTTTTATTAAAATTTCAAAAATAGTAAAAAATCGAGGAATTCTTCATTTTCTGTTAATTGTCTAACAAGATTTTTATAGTTTTTCATTTGGCTTTATGTTACAAATATGTATTGTTATATAGAAAATATCAAAACACATATATTTGAGGCATCTGTTAAAAAATATACGGAATTATTTTCTAAGGAAGCAAACAAATGGCGCTTCAAAAAACATTATTTTTCAAGATTTAAATACGACACATGTCATCATCGTGAAAACTTCTGTTCAAAAAAAATTGACCAATATACCAACTAATTAAACAAATCAAATGTGTTATAGAGCTCAAGAATGATTTGTATACATGAGAGTTGGGAGGGAGGAGGTCTATGACTTTGATTGTTTGACAAATCAATGATTGTCAATCATAAAAAAAAGGGTGCAAAATTTGGTCATAGAACATTAAGCAAATATTTATTGTTAGAATTTGGATAGTCTAGATGTTAGCTTAGTATGTGGGCTTTTGGCTTTGCCTATTAATTATCTATACAATGAAAAACTCGGAATGGTTAATGATTATAATGCAGTGCTTATCTTAATAAGTGACATAACTAATATTGAATAATATTAGGAATAAACAAAAAAAACAAAAAATTTCATGATTGATACATGTAAACGTAATTAATTTTATGTTAGAGGAGGTCAAAAGATATAATGGATATTAAACTTAAATGAGTAAGTTGGTTGTGAGTTTTGTGTATAGCTATTTGTGAAAGTTTAAGTAGCTTTTTGTGAAAGTTACATGAATATGAGAAGTCTCAAATAATTAACCAATACATTTATGTACAATTGAATTCTAGTAGTTATTTGGTGAAGAAGAAAATGGTTATTAAAATATTAGTCAAGAGTAAAAAAAAAAAAATTGTTTAGAGTACCTTTATAGTAGTAGAGATAGAGATGAAATAGTTTGAAAACAAGGATTATGGATGTGTTTCTAGCGTTTGCGTGTGTAAGATAGAGAGAGAGAGAGATAGAGAGAATAAAGTCCGTGCTTGAATTCACGCTTTTATTTCACCGGAAAATTAGTTCAAAAACAAGATTATTTTATTCCAACAAGAAATAAAAATACACTGTTGAGACTTTGCATTGTTTTAGTGAATTAATCATCAATAGCGAGGGGTGGTCATCTAGTTACATCATTTCAAAGGTAGATACCATTACATGATTCTGGAAACTTCAAATTTGTCATGTTTTGTAGTCCCACGTTTTTCAACCATCTACCAGCAAACTAGTGAAGCTCAAAGGAAGGTCTTCTCTGTCAACGCAAGGGTATACAAACGCTTTGTATGTCTGTCTATCATTTGGCAACTTGAGACAACCTTTTGTGTGTCTGTGTGTGTTTTTTTTTTGTTGGGGGGAGAGGGGTTGCACTTTGGCAATGGACGAGCAAATGGTGGTGTTGGATAACTAAACATGTGATTGGAAAGAATTTCTGAACAGTTCTTTCCATGTCCAGCATGTCAAGTCACAGAAGGAGAGAGAGAGAGAGTACATAACCAAGTAGACCACCAAGGGTGATTGACCAATCTTTTATTGAAAAAGTTCCTTTCTTTTCAATTCAATAAATGTAACACAATGAAGAATTACCTCCTAGAGGTGTGAGTTATCCATTATCCCCGGAAGCACATAGATGAACTGGAATGGCTGTTGTTCTTAACTTCAAATAGGTAGGACTTTCTTTATAAGAAAAAAAATAAAATGCAAATAGAGGGGCAGGAGCATAGAAGAAAATTTAGAAGCTCCTCGGCGTTTCTCCTATAGTTCATGCTCATTTTAGTGAGTTTAATGCTGATGAAAAGTATTCCAGGGCATCTTTACCTCTTACCAATACGGACCTCCGAACTCATTTGCAGTAGTCCCTACACCCGTCTCATATTTTGGGTTGTTTCCTGTAAATCCCCAACCATTTCTATTCCGGATCCAAGGGGGTGGGAGGTTTGTATTATTCCAGTTCGGCTGCCTGAAGCATTCCCTTTCCAAACTATAACAGGACCCCCTTCCTAGCTGAAAATTGTGTTGGTTGATTGTAGTGGGTGTTTCCACATACGGTGGGCCTGCACCCGATGTGCTTGGAGTTGAGTGATAAACAGGCGGATTATGGATGCCCAATGTGTGTATTTCTGCAGGTTGGCTCCTTGTCACAGGGTTAGTAGTAGCACAAGGTGAAGGATCTCTCTTGTCACGGGGATATGGGGGCAACGGTGGAAAAGGAAGGAAAGGCATGGCTGGGGCAACAATCCAACTCTCAGCCGTTTCTGTTTGAGGTACTCCAAACTGCTGTGCAACAGACATCGGAATGCCATACGAGATAAGCATGTGCGAAATGAATCGCTCTTGTGGTTGCCCAATTACCACTTCACATGGACCCTGCACTTTTTCTTGGTGGTAATCGGTAGTAGATGAAGCAGCATTAGAGGGAACCAAAGAGCCATGAAGCGGAAGCGAAAATCCAGGAGGAAAATCAAATCCAGGAGGAACATCGTCGTCGATGTTCTGGCTTCCATTATCTGTCATGTTAGTTTCATTTTGAGGAATCCTGGGTTCCTTGTGATGAGATCTTGAATCTAGGCTGACCGCTACTGACTGGTCCCATTGGCTTTTACGCTTGCGATTCTTTGTCCCGTTGGTCACCAAACCACTAACATGTGATGCAGACAAGTCCACATCAGCTACAGTGGTTGCATGAACTGATTGGTTTACACATTCTATTGCTTCTGTAGCTCTTACACCCTGGGCACACCATTGATGGTGTGATACCAATACTCTATTGCAATTTGAACCATGGTGAAATTCCATCCTGCCATCATCTCTCTCAGCGCAGCTATTTTTTCTTAGATATCGAGGGATCCACCTATCTCGGAAGTTTCGTGCAATTTGATGGACCTGTTGTGCAGCAAAATAACGAAGCCTCAAGTTTTAGCCTACGAGAGTGCATTAAAATCATAAGCAAGCACAATCTGCAGATGTATGTCATACATTCTTATCACACCCCAACAATAAGGAACAAGAGAAAGAAAGGGGGAGGACTAATGCACCAAACCCAAATAACTGTAGCATGTTTAAAATTTTAAGCAAAGCAGCAAATAATGTTGTGCATACTATAAACTATAAAGCACAATTTTTATGCCTTTAATGCAACCAACATAATTAATTAATTATATAGTTAGTTTCATAATAAAGGGCAGATCCACCACATTAATCAAACCTAAATGTTATTTTGACTTCAGCAGGAAAATTTTCACTTAGGTAAATTGACCAAGAAATGCAACAGCCCAAACAAACAAGAAAAAGTAGGTGCTTTAGGACAAAGAATGAACAAACCCTAAATCCAGAACAGTTCCATCATGCCAGAATTAGTCACGTTACTACTGAGAGATCAATTTCCTTACAGAAGATTTCATAGTTTGCAATGAAGGAGAAGAGTAAAAATACATTCCAGGGAGTTTCTTTGGCTACAATTCAGATGATGATTTGGCCTGAATAATAGTTGGAACTATTTAAGCAATACCAAAAAAAAAAAGATGAAGAAAATGATTCTTCTAGCATCTCTATTAGCTTTGTGATCAGTGGATTGAGGGCTCCTCTTAAAAGCCTCTCAATATGCCCCTAATGGATCCTTCCATTGGAGGAAGTTGGTTAAATTTTAGTGGATGCAACTCTTGTAATCTGGATTAATCAGGACTCAGTATTCGCACTGATATTTACTGAGCATGCTGGAAAATACAATTGTGGCATTTTCAGAACTGGCTGAAATTGAGCTTATAATAAAGCACCGGATGCTAGATCATTCAAAAGCATTTAGAGGGGCTTGTATCCCACTATTGGTAGCAAATTCAACATGGAACATGGATGGGACTGAGTTTCAGCAGCTCAAAATGTGGCAATAGTCACTGATGGTAGCAGATTTTAGATGATTCATCCATGCCACATGTAAAAATCTAAAGCGTTCCTATAGTGGGTAACAGCGAGGCAAATCAAAAGGGTTCTTGTTCTTGGGCTTCTAGCTCTGTTAGTTAAAAGGACTCACCAACAGCGAGTGACAGCAAGGCAGATTACCTCGGCTTGTGTATGAAACACAATTTTTCAATACATGAAACAACTTTTTCAATATGTATTTTAGGTCACCATAATCCCTTTGAAGTAACTTTTAATGTTTGTGCTATAAATCTTGTCTTTTAGACTTGCTTTATTGTAAACAAGTATTTTACTTCAATAAAATGGAAAAGTAAGGCCATATGGCAATCTACTTATCAGCATAAGAATGAGAAGATCACTGTTAAAAAGAATATTCTGTCGAAATATTTAATCGACCCAAACAAGATGCCCTCCACAAGAAGATAATTTAAATGGAATACCTGCTTATCAGTATGCTCTGTCAATGTCAAAATTGACTCCCGAAAGCTACACAGAAACATATATTTCAGGAATACTTAGAGAAAATGAACTTAGTTCAGGAACTGCACATTTGAAAAAGATAATTGAACAAAGTTTATAAGTGAAAGAAAAATTGCAGCTATAGCATGGTCACCAAAAACTGGCTCTTACTTGAAACCATGATAGAAACATTTGTTTGAGTCGTATGTTCATTATGGAGTAGTGCACTTAAGTAACAATTCCATTGCTCCACATTGTGATCTCATAACATGAGTAAGACCTGGGAGAATTACCCTCCAGTATGCTCTATTCCCATTCTATTCTGCTTCTTACTATTAAACATGCTAGAGTTCCTTCATGGAATCACCAATGTGTTTCTGAAAGCTTTCTATTCTTTTTTATTTTTTTCCCTTTTCTTCTTGTAGAAAACAAAGAATGCAACTGAAACCTAAGATATTTCTGAATACAAGGAAGCAGAAGTACAGGTATAATACACAGTTAAAAGAAAACTCCATTACAAAATTGATCAAGAATCATTCCTACATAATTTGACCATGTAAGAAATAGAAATCGTTCTTCATAGAGACCGGGCAAATGCCTAGTCAACTAAAGCTCATCTCCATTGGAAATGTGCATTCAAATTAACGCAGTTAGGTATATGTGATAATGAGAATGCAATGTGGCAACACGAAAAAATAAATTTTAAGCACTATCACAATTGCTTCTACACAAGACACACCATTGCACTAAAAAGATAAGCATTGGGTCTCCTTCTTTGGAGCACATCATTAGTATCAACTAGTCATGAGAAATAACTCGTGCACAATAGGTGGTTGTGTATAATACTAATGAGTTGATCCAAACAAAGAGGACTGTGTTCTTTGCAAGAGTGGGGAGGACTGTATGGATCGTTTATTTTGCATTGTCCCTTTGTTACTAAGTTGTGGATCTTTTGTCAACATTTGAGGTTCCATGGGTGACTCCTTGAAATTGCAAGTCAATCTTTGTAGTTAATTTTGAAGGCCTTCATACAAGTAAAAAAGCTAAGATTTTATAGAGATGTACGGTCTTGGCATTGTTTTGGATTGTCTTGAAAGAAATGAGAGAATTTTTTATGAGAGGAGGATGGCTCCTAGGGAAGATTTGTGCGATAAAATATTACTCCTGGCATCTCTTTGGACTTCCAATTCAAAAGATTTTGAAGGAATACCACTCTTATTGATTAAGGATCATTATACTCAAGTGTGAAGAACATTGAGATTTGAATTTTCACTTTGATTTTACTCCTTTTTCTTTATGTTTTTCTAGCTTCTTCATTTCATTTCAATTTTTTTTTCATTTATGTATTCATCTAGAGGACTCCTTATCCTCACATGTCATTTTTCGTTTTTGTCATGAATAATATTTTCTCATTCCCAAATAAAAAAATAAAGAGAATAATGTTATTGGGACTTAATGATTGTAGTTATTGGATTGTCAACATTGATTACAATCCATTATCAATGTAATAATTACCATGCATTAAATCCCCAAATTATGTCCCAATAGCATTAGTGAAACAAAAATATGCTACGAGAAGTGCATAAGACATGCTGCCAAAGCCTAGTGCTATTGGACATTGACATTGGGTAAGGTCCGGACATAAAAATTGAGGGACATGATTTGCCTCATTGGGTGCGTTAAACAACCATTTACACCAAAAGTTTAAGCTATTAGAGAAAGTGTAACTTAAGTATTTATACTTCAATATGCCCCCTCGCGTGACTAAATTTTGGGCCCAACACCAGTAAATCTTTTTAATAATTAGGGTGGTGGTGAGATTTGAACACAGGACTTCCTGCTTTAAAACCATGTTAAATTTAGAGAATGGAGAGAAATATGAGAGGCAGAGAATAACATCATACCCTACCTCTCACACTCAACTCATATTTATAGTTACCTAATAAAAGTACAAATGACTAGTATACCTTAGAGAGGTATACTTTTTACACCATAATAAATATTAACCAATATTACACTATCACTCTCAACTTCATTGATCCAAAATTAATTTTGTTTTGATACTGAGAATTTGAACTAGGAAATTCTTCTCTTCCCTTCTCTTTCCTCGTCTGCTGGTTAGTTCGTGCAACCCAAGACAATGGTTTAGAGTCGTGGGTGGTGGTATGTTGATTGGAATTATCTAATTGGTGGTGTTGTGGTCGTCGGAGGTGTGGTGTGAGGCAGTGTCACCATCGGAGTCGTTGTTAGTGACTTTGTTGGGTTCCTGTTACAAGCTATCGTCGATCACTAGGGTTCCTTTGAAACCCATCACGTGAAGAAGAAGCAACTTCGGGGCCATCGTCAATTACTAGGGTTTTTGTGAAACCCATCGCGTGAAGAAGACACACCTCTAGGACACTTCAGATCATAACAAATACATACATCATGGGTTATTTTAATTGGCCCGATCCAATTTTGTTTGGACCCAACAAACCTTGGTTCTAGTCCATAGCCCATTTCAAACACAAGCAAACCAGACCAGGTCCAGCCCAATTCACGGTCTGGCCCAAATTGGAAACAACCCACCAGCTCCTTAAGGTTAAGACCAGTTCAGGACGGTTCAGAGGAGTTTCAGGCAGGTTCAGTGTGTTTTTCTGCCGGTTTAGTGGCGTTCTGTTGGTTTCAGCCATTTCAGCAGTTGGTCCAGTGGGTTTTAGCCATTCTCCAGCTGGTTCAGTGGGGTTTTCAGTTGGTTCGGCCGTATTTTAGCCGGTTCAGCCCTTCTCCATCCGGTTCAGTGGGTTTTCCAGTTGGTTTAGCCCTTTCTACGTCCGTTCAATGGGGTTTTCACTACTTAGCCTTGGATCCTTTTATCCTCGCCAATTTTCCAATATTCAGGTGACGATTTTACATTAATTCCCCTATGTTTTGTCTTCCCATCTATCGTATTAATATGGAATCCAAGACAGACACTCCACCTCTTATTACTTCTCCCACACTGCCACCCATACTTTTCCCGACGATTCTTCTCAATGATCCCATGACTTCCGTCAAGCTCGGGAGGGTGCTGAGTTTGCGAAGCGATTTAGAGGGACTCCTCTTATTAAGACCATAGAATCTTCCTGCGAATTATCACCTTCGCCTAGAATGTGAGTAAGCTCAATGAGACTAATTATGTTTTATGGTTTCGATTAGTCCAAGTTTTTCTTAAAGACAAGGGTCTTAAAAAGTATTTGACGGAACAGAAACCCAAGACTACTGACCCGGGATTTGATTAGTGGGAACAGGAGGATGCACAAATTATTTCCTTGTAGTTAAATAGTATTGAGTCTCATATCAGCACTACCTTACTTTATCTCGACACTGCCAAGAAAATCTGGGATCATTAATTTTACTCGTATATATGAGATTTGAAAACAATATTTTCACCTTAAGCAGGGTATTCTCGAGTTTAGAAGACTATTATTCTCAAGGGAGGGGCGTATGCGAGGAGTTAAAGATTTACCACCCATTCACCATTGATGATGTAGTTATGCAGAGACAGCGCGAGGACTTTGGATTTTGGATGTTGTTCGTTTTCTTGTGGGTTTAAAGCCTGAGTATGAGCCTATTCATTTCCAAATAGTGGGTGACTCTAGCCTTCCATCTCTTCTTGAGGTCATTTCTTGTTTGTAGCGTGCTACCTTGTCTGATGGGTATTCGACTTCAAGTATTGACCATGGCTTGCCTACTGACTGCTCAGCTCTTGTTGTCTCCAATGGCAATAGTGGTATTACTCGGGATGGTCGTGACAACCACGGTGGCGGTGGTTGTGGTGGCCAAGTTGGCCGTAATAGAGGTCGTGGCAATTGGACTGGTACTCGTTCATGCACTCATTGTGGTCATGTCAACCACACTATTGATTATTATTGGAATTTACATGGTAAACCATTTGGTATTGCTAATCAAGTCTCGTATCTGGTTGAAACTTCTCATTTTACTCCTCCCAACTCTAAGTTAGTTACTATTACACGAGAGCAGTATGCTCAATTTATGTCTCAACAACATGCAGTACCATCTTCTTTTGTTACTACTTTTGCCTACTCAGGTACTGCCTCTACCTATTTATTATCATCATCCTCCAATCGTAGCCCCTGGATCATAGACTCTGGCGCTTCTAATCACATGGCAGGTTTGTTTGGTGTCTTCTCTACTTATCATCCAGTTATTTTCCCTCACAGTGTTACTCTTACTAATGGTACTTCTTCTAAGGTTTCAGATTTAGACACTACTCAATTGAGCCCTGATATGTCCTTATCATCTGTTTTATTTGTTCTTCAATTTCTTTTTAGTTTATTTTCTATTAGCAAGATTACCTGCTCGTTTAATTGTTTAGTAATTTTTTATCCCTTTTATTGTGTGTTTCAGGGTCTCCAGACAAAAAGTAAGATTGGTATGGGACATAAAGTTAGTAGTCTCTATTACTTTGACCTTGTTCCACCCAGACCTCATCCTCTCTCTTTCAGTTGTGGTTTTGGACATCCATCCCTCCAGAACCTAAAGCATTAAGTTTCTACCCTTAATCATGTGTCATCTGTGTCTTATGAAACTTGTCAACTTAGTAAGTATCACCATGTGTCATTTCAATCTAGAGTCAATAACTGTGTGTCTGGTTCTTTTGAGTTAGTCCATTCAGATGTATAGGGTCTAATAAAAAATATTTCATCTAATAAATTTTTTTATTTTGTATCATTTGTGAGTGATTATTCTCATGTTAGTTGGTTATTTCTTATGAAAGCTCGTTCTGAATTGTTTTCTATATTTAAGAAATTTTATAAAAAAATTAAAACCTAATATTGTTGTCGTATTCATAGTTTACGTTTTAATAATGCTCGTGAATATGAATTTAATCTTTTTTTTACTTATCTTCGTAAGACTAATATTATTCACCAACCTTCATGGGCCTACAAATCCCAACAAAATGAAGTTGTTGAGCATAAAAATCACCATCTGTTGAAAGTTATCCGCACTTTTATTCTAAATGAATGTTCCTTCGTCTATGCTGAATGACCAAAGTCCATTACTGTTTTTTCTCCCAATTCTTCATTGTTTTCCTTACCTCCTAAGATTTTTGGTGTGTTTGTTGTGTTCACAACTGAAGTTATAAGTTTAATAAATTTGATCCTCATGATGTATCTTTCTTGGTTACTCTAGTACACAGAAGGGATATCTTTGCTATAATCCCACACTTCGTCGATATTTCACTAGTGCGGATGTCACCTTTACATAATTAATCCCCTATTTTCCAACTCCTACTCAGCCTCGGGATCTTGACTTTGGGTCATCACCTTCCATCCCACCTCTTCCATTACCTTCTATTCCTCCACTGTCTACCGTGCTACCACCCAGTACCTCGTTACCCCGTTTTGTGTATATTCTCATCGTCCATGATCACATCCTAAGGTGCTCCTGCCGTCTTCTGATCTTAGTCCTTTAGATATTTCTGACTCTTTACGTATTACTCTTCATAAAGGTACTAGATTGTATGTTATTAACCATCCTATTACTCTATTTCTTATGATGTCTTGTCGCCTACTTTCTCTTACTTTACCTTTTAACTGTCTACTATTTTTATCCCTAAGACCTTACAAAGTGTGTTATCTAATCCAAGTTTAAGAAAATATATGGAAGTAGAGATGGATGTCTTACCGAGACTTGGGATCTTATTCCTTTACTACCTGATAAGCGGATTGTTGGTTATCGATAGGTGCATATAGTTAAATTTAATCCCGATGATTTTGTTGAGCATCTCAAAACCCGCCTGATTGCTAAAGGTTTTATTCAAACCTATGGTATTGATAATGATGAGACTTTTTTTACTGTTGCTAAAATTGTCTCTATCTGTGTACTGATCTCTTTTACTGCTAATTTTGTTTGACCCTTGTTTCAGTTAGATGTCAAAAATACCTTTTTATACGGTGACGTGACTAAATAAGTTTACATGAATCAGTCCCTTGGGTTCGCTGCTTAAGGGGAGTATCGAGTGTGTCGACTAAAGAAATCTCATTATGGTTTAAAACAATCACTGCGAACATGGTTTGGTAAGTTTTCAGAGATAGTTTAAGAGTTTAGTCTTCTTCTGTGTCAGACAGATTGATACAGAGTACATTCTATTGGTTGTTTATGTGGATGATATTGTAATTACGAATAATGATTCCAAGAATATTGCCAAGTTAAAAACCCTCTTGCAGGACTGATTTTATACTAAGAATTTGAAAAAACTCAGGTACTTCTTGGGTATCGAAGTTACCAGGTCTAAGCAGGGCATTTGTTTGTCTTAAAGAAAATATGTACTTGACATACTAAAGGAAACAAGTTTGTTGGGTAATAGACCAATTGATATTTTGATGAATTCGAGTCAGAATTTATTGATGGAGGATGGTGCATTGTTTGAAATTCAAGTCGGTACCACAGGTTGGTTACGAAGATAAATTATCTCACTATTACCTGGTTGGATATTGCATATACACTTAGTATTGTGAGTCAATTTATGGGATACCCTAGAGTACCACACTCGCATCCTCAGATACCTCAAACGCGTTCCTAAACTGGGGTTGTTATATCGAACAAATGAAAATCTCAGAGTGGAAGGTTTTTCAAATGCTGATTGGGCTGGTTCTCCCTCGGATTGGAGGTTAACTACTAGCTATTACTTTCTTAGAGCAATGGCACATAAACCGCATGAGTTGACATGGTTGCGAAATTGGTTTACTATAAATATAAGTCGAGTGTGATAGGTAGTGTATGATGTTATTCACTACCTCCCTCATATTATTGAGTTAATTTTCTCCATTACTCTAAACTTAACAAGGTGATTCGAATTCCCAATTTTCAACTTTCAACTTTCAACTTTCTATTGAATTCAAAAAATCTGAAATTTGAATTTTTTTGAAAAAATGATTTGGACGAATCTCACCAAACAATAAGGGAACAAGATCTATATGCCCCTTTTTTGCTAATTATAGTATTCCAAAATCATTCATTTCTTGCTGAATTTTGGATCCAAACTTTTCCTTCAGTGCATTGATATTCTGAATTTTCAGTCAAATTCTTCTGTCCATCCACGCAATTGGTAAGTAAGCCGGATTTTCAAAAGTCTGTTACAATGGCATAATGGATCCAGTGTTCGGCTGGAGGCTCGGCCCCCAAAAGCTTTAATTCAAAAACCACCCAAGAGGGTGGTTTTCAACAATGGTGCAACCACTGTAATCTAGACCAAGAAGGAGATGAATGAATCCTTTAAACCTTTAGAGTTGGCGGTTATTGGTAAGTGTTCTTATGCGCCCTTCTCTAAGTGTAATCTATAACTACATAGAAACCAAATGGACTATGAGAGGAGTTTTTTCAGCAGGAATTTTGGATCACACGAACCTGCAGTAAAGCCCATGTGGTTCTCTTCCTTCCTTACCTCTCAGTCTTCTCCTAAAGGAATATTTGGAGGATTTATTAAGCCCTATTGGTAAAGTTTTGGCCATTGATGGACCAACGACAAACTTTACCAGGCCAATTCTCGATGTATCTTTCATTTATTTCTCAACCAAATAAGCCAGGAAAGATGTGTCCAATCACCCAACCATATAAGGCTGATTGATATTTTATACAGTCATGGTTGCAAGAGTTTGCGTCTTGGTCAACCTTTTCAAGAACAATCCTCATAAAATATGGTTAGAGAGAAGCAGATTAAAGGATCACCCACGCCATATGCCCTTATGCAAAACAAGTACATGGAAGTTTACAACGATCAAAAAGAGCTCAAAAGATCCTCTCTTTCTGTCCACTTCTCCTATTCAAATTTGGATATCAAATCAACGTATATACACGTCAAGGAATTAGGCTTTGAAAACTATATAGGTTCATCTGGCCGTGATAGAGTTCCACAAAAGTTTATTACAACAGGAATCACTGAATTTACTGGCATATAGCATCAGCAACCACTATTCATTTAGTTTAACTGCTTAATTGATCATATTTCAATAGAAAACTTGACACTGGCCTGAAACCTGTTAGGTCTTCCAAGAGGCCTAAGGTAGTCTAAACCTTTTATCCATTGTGTTTTGAAGCCAAGTAAAAGTTCATTTAAACTGCCAAAAATTGGTTTCAATTTTTAGGTCTTACGATGTCCATCAAACATCTTAGCAGTTTTTGTTAGGCCATCCTATTTAGGAAATAAGCCTGTATAAAAGCACACATACTGATTGATGGCAAATGATCAGCGAAGAAAAAAAACTTACAATCTATACAAAGATCATACATGCAAATATATGAAAAAACAGATTAAACACAGAAAAGATGGTAATGACAAAAAGAAAAACACAGAAAAGGGGGTCAATTTCTGCAAACTGCACCAAATACTGGGAGAAAGAGATCACAGCAAACAAGTCAAGCCATTCGATAGAGATAGGTGACAATTTGTTCTAACCTCTCCACTCCAGGACGAGGGGGACCCCCATTAATGTGTTCCAATGTAAGTATTTCCCTCACAGCCAAATACTCTAAGATCTGCATGGAAGAGCAGTGAGCCACATATTGTACTTCATCCAGATACCCGACGATAACTAGCATTGATGAAATCAATCATAATGTTAAACTACAAACACAAAGCTAGAAAACATGAATAAATTTTGTACATTATGTAAACATATCTTATGGTACAGTTGACTAATGGGTTAATATGATGGGTAAGAGTGGGCTGGGTTGGGTGAATGATTTTCAACCCCTTGTAAATCTACTCGGTTTTGTGGTTTTTGAACCATCCATGCCCATAAATTGCCAGCTACAGACACTGTACAATCATTAAGGAATGTCCGCACATCAAGTCCCAGATTTATCTCAAATTGATTGGTACAACTATTAGGGGACATGAAAAAGCAGGTATATGCATGAAACAAAATTTCGTTTTGTTGGAAACAAAATGACTGAAACACTTCGGTTTCAATGGAAACCAAGTGAATTAGTGATGGAATGAAATTCCCATGTTTTGGAATGTTCCGGTATGTTCTGTTATGGTTAGGTTCGGCCAAGGTTTCAGAATTAAATTTTCAATTTTTTTCTCCGTTTCTATTGTGTTTTTGAAACATGTAAAAAATATTTCTGAATTATTTTGGAAACGTTTCACTTTCCGATCCAATAGAAACTATGCATTGAAAAATACCACGCTCCTTAGGAATATTAGTAAACTATAGGCCTGTTTGGTTTGTATCTCAAAAAACAGGACCTGAAAAACTATTTTTAAGAAAAGTTTTAAAAAGTGCTTTTAAAAATTTTTAGATTACAAAACCTGTTTGGTTGTATATATTTAAAAATAGTTTAAAAGAACAAAAATTATAAAAATTTGTTTGGACAATAATCTCCATCTCCTCTCTTTGTCTCTCTCTCTTTCACTGTGCATCAAGACCCACAAAGTACAGTGAACCACCGAAACCCACAACCACCATCAAAGACAACAGCACAACTGTTGGGTAACAACTACAACAAATAGAGACTGAGACACACACACCGATGCTCAGTGAGGTGGAGAAGAAGAATGAACAAAGAGAGAGAGAGAGAGAGGTGGAGAAGAAGAATGAACAGACAAAGAGGGAGCTCAGTGAGGCGGTTTTGGAGAAAATGAAAAAGTTTCTTTTTATTGTCTCCAATGAATCTCGAAGGGGAGACCTCATTAATTTGGAGATAGTTGTTTCCCTTATTTTTAGTTTGCCTTAGAAAACAATGAAAACATCATTGTGTTGTTCTCTAAAATCACATCTCAATTCCCAAAATTTTCAAAAAATTGGAAAACAAAAAAGCTAAACAAACAGGTTTAGAGTGTTTTCGAAATTTTGAGAACAAAAAACAGTTTTCTAAAACTAAACCAAACACGCCCTATATGACTCCTCATACACATACCTTAAGTAGCTTTCGAAGAATTGGTATCTTATAAAATTCCCTTCTGTACTGCTTCATTATGTTGTGTAACATTTGTAAACCTAAAAAGCAAGGCAGAAGTCATATTTCTCACAAAAATGGGTAAACAATTGCATATAAGATCGTGATAAGAAAGAGAGCCAAAAATTTGAAGTATGCAACAAAACTCAGAAAACACTACCATTCTTATTGATTATATCAACCAAAACTGTCCGTGGCTTTGTTTTCAATAGTGCATCAAGAATCATAGAAAGTTCTCGATTGCTGCAAGAAATGTATATGTCAACTAAAATGAAGGACTCGTAACAAAACAAGTTGTACAGGCTCAAGTAAGCGATTTCAGGATTAGAAAGACTAATAAATAGACAACAAGATCTAAAATGACCTCTGAATTGCTTCGCCATTGCCACTATCCCCTGAAGCTGCAGTTAGAAGAAGAAGTTTCAAGTAGCCTCTGGATGCATCCTGTTTGAAAAGAAGAAGCATTAGAACATGGAACCTAAATGAATGTGCACATCAATAGACAAAAGCTTGGAATAGAGTGCTATTTGCAGTGATATTACTTATTTCAAGCAAAGAAAATAAATGATTCAGTAAAAATTTAAATGGCAACGAGAAATTAGAAAGACCAGATAGTGAAGCTGATTGAATGAAAGGTCTGTCAAATAATATTGACATTTTGGGTGAGGACAAGCATTGGCATCCAGTAAAACAGTAAAAGCAAACCATGAAAATACCAGATGAGAGAACTAAAGAACGAAGCATGATGTATAAACTGTAGATGAAATATGTCTACTTGCTCTAGTGTTAAAAAAAAAAGAGAAAGAATGCATCACATAAGACCAAAACAATGGGATCTGTAATCTCAGGAAACAAAAAGAACTCAAAAATGAAAACAGGTCTGATATTCCATAAGGAGGAACTTCTTACTTTCCTTTTGCTTATTCCCCCATCAGAATCTAGCAGCTCATTCAGTTTCTCCTGAACTGCAAGCATTAATGGTCAAAATGATTACAACATGCAATAAGCTTCACACCTCACTGGGAAAGTAAAAAGAGCTGATCATCTACCTGCTTCAAAACGGTCATTTAAAGAACCTTCCAGTAGTTTTTTGGAGTTGAAGGGCAGCACATGTGTTCTGCTGTCCACCTCCGTAGTTTTGTTGACATGTATAGCATTAGTCTTGGTTTTTCCCTTCTTAACTGAAGATGATGAGCGAGAATTAATCATGTGAGGATGGGGTTTTGAGAAAACACGCCTATCTTCATCTGTGTCAGGTTTGGACAACTTCTTATCATCGTTTATCTCAGGCAATGATTTGCTAAGCATTGTAGTTGTAGAAGAAGCCTCCACTCTTTGAAAAGAGTACGAGGAATTCTTCACAATTTTCTCTGCCACAGAAACCTCTTGCTGAGCTGCAGACCTGGTCTCACTCATTAGATCATCTGGTGGTGGGGAAGTTTCTATTACTTGTCCAGAAGGTGGAAACTGTTTGTCTGAGCCCTCAGTCATAGAAATGTCCGGTTTTGAAGCAACAGATGCGGATTTGTTCAAGGAGTCTTCCCTTTTTGTGGTAATCTCCTTCAGTCCAACAGCAGTTGAGGAGTTATCCATTTTCTCACTGTCTTTTGAAAAAATTTCTCCAGTTTGCATTTTCAAGGTAGTCTCCAATTGTCCAACACCAGTTACAGGTTCGGCAAATCCATCTTTGGTTTTCAATAAACTCAGTGCAGTTTGCATATCTGACCTATCAATGGAACTGGTTGAAGATATTATATAGTCCAACTTATCATCCATTTTACCATTTTCACGGACCATGACAGGTTCTGGATATTCTTCATCTGAATCACCCTGAACAATCACTTCAGTACTTAGTGGATCACCACCTAAATAGCCCCAACAGTGAGATGAACCACAGACACATTTTTTGGCAGCAGCCCCAAACACCCGTACATAATTGTAATCAAACGTCACCTCTTCACCCTGCCACAATATCACGTCCAACCATAAGTGAAATAAATGTAATGATTACATTTCCAATCAATCAAGTGCTAGAAGAATTCAGACAAATAAAGTTGAAAAGGATTTAGATAATATACACGTATATGCTGCAAGAAGCAATTCCTTCAAAGGCCCTAGCTTCACATCTTTGCATAAAACAACTATGACACTTGAGGTCAAGTTTTTTTCTAATAAGAGGACATAAGAGATTACAGCTCCATATTTGCCACAGGCCCACAACTAATATTATGTAGGAGCCCATTATTGTTAAAAGATTAAGATAATAATTTTAATAGTTTATGTTTATACTTTAGTATTTTCAAATAAGCATCCTGCGAGGTTAAAGATCTTCAGAAACTTATAGTTTTAACAATGGAAAAACCAGGGTTTTATTTGTTAGCATATGGGGTGAAGGGGGGGCCTCTCAGAAAACCTTAAAAGGGGCCTCATTTCAAAAAATAAGGCAGCCTCAAAGATATCTAAAATATCTACAAGATCTCTCTCTCTCTCCCCCCCCCCCCTCTAATACCTCTTTTACCCTATCTTTGCTTGTCTATGATCTTTTCCTTCTCTCGTACTATTTTCTCATTTGATCTTTCCCACATACCCTCATCTTTTCCATCTCGCACTATTTCTTAAACATTTGTCCTCTCCTTCCTCTTTCTCGTCTTCCCATTGGTTACCCATCTTTTTTTTTTCTTAAATTTTAAATGATGCAAATATAAGATATTGAACATACTTTGCTAGTCAACTTTTGGTCACCTCTGTCCTCTANCCAACTTATCATCCATTTTACCATTTTCACGGACCATGACAGGTTCTGGATATTCTTCATCTGAATCACCCTGAACAATCACTTCAGTACTTAGTGGATCACCACCTAAATAGCCCCAACAGTGAGATGAACCACAGACACATTTTTTGGCAGCAGCCCCAAACACCCGTACATAATTGTAATCAAACGTCACCTCTTCACCCTGCCACAATATCACGTCCAACCATAAGTGAAATAAATGTAATGATTACATTTCCAATCAATCAAGTGCTAGAAGAATTCAGACAAATAAAGTTGAAAAGGATTTAGATAATATACACGTATATGCTGCAAGAAGCAATTCCTTCAAAGGCCCTAGCTTCACATCTTTGCATAAAACAACTATGACACTTGAGGTCAAGTTTTTTTCTAATAAGAGGACATAAGAGATTACAGCTCCATATTTGCCACAGGCCCACAACTAATATTATGTAGGAGCCCATTATTGTTAAAAGATTAAGATAATAATTTTAATAGTTTATGTTTATACTTTAGTATTTTCAAATAAGCATCCTGCGAGGTTAAAGATCTTCAGAAACTTATAGTTTTAACAATGGAAAAACCAGGGTTTTATTTGTTAGCATATGGGGTGAAGGGGGGGCCTCTCAGAAAACCTTAAAAGGGGCCTCATTTCAAAAAATAAGGCAGCCTCAAAGATATCTAAAATATCTACAAGATCTCTCTCTCTCCCCCCCCCCCCCTCTAATACCTCTTTTACCCTATCTTTGCTTGTCTATGATCTTTTCCTTCTCTCGTACTATTTTCTCATTTGATCTTTCCCACATACCCTCATCTTTTCCATCTCGCACTATTTCTTAAACATTTGTCCTCTCCTTCCTCTTTCTCGTCTTCCCATTGGTTACCCATCTTTTTTTTTTCTTAAATTTTAAATGATGCAAATATAAGATATTGAACATACTTTGCTAGTCAACTTTTGGTCACCTCTGTCCTCTAGAATATTCTCTACTTCAAGTCATGTTGAATTCATTTTTATAAATAACCTCAACTTCATATTCTTAGAATTCTATGCTCCTTGTTGGCTGAATTCGCCTTTCCATTACAACAGTTGATTAAAGTGCAAAAGACCACAATTTTAAAAGTGCACACAAAACAACTACACACCAACAGAATTTCCCTGACTACCAAAAACCGCATATACCCAGATGATGCACAAGTATAAAGCAATCCCTCAAACCAGTAACTTAACACTTCAATCTCAAAAGGCACAAGCTAAGCACGTAAATGATGTTTGACTGGGGGACTATACCTTCTTGATATCCCTTAATGCAAATAGTCCTATGCAAACTTCTCCATTCACCATCCACTGTTTAAGGAAATTACAAAAGCAGAGTTAATATGTTCACAGTAAAAATATATGTATTTACATACCAGAAGGCTACTACTCAAGCAACAAGTACACATATTCATTAAATATTATGAAATATATGAAACAAGATCTTAATAACATAATAAGTTTTAGCCGACATGTCAAGAATGACATTAAATATTTGTCTCTCATTAATGTATTACTCTATTCTCTGTACAAGTAGATCATTGACAACAAAATTTACTCATGGCAACATCACAGCTTAAGGAGAGAAAGAAAGATAATGTAACCCCGCCCCTCCAGGGGGGAGGCAGAGGGAGGGAGAGAGAGAGGGACACTACTGGCAATGTAATGATCATCATATAAGAAATTGCATCCATTTGACTGATGTGAAGAATTGATGTCTAAAATCAACTTCTTTCAGCAAGGAACTAAGGGTGCTACCACCAACGCTTCACACCCCTCCAAGGCTCCAACTACCTCAACCATTTCTCCAAAAAAGCGGGATATCCAACCTAGCCCATGGAAACAATATAGTCCACATCAACTGAAACGGCCTACCACTCTTTTCTGAACAAACACCATCCTATTGTGCGGAGGTAAAGAACCTCGTTCTTGCCACAAGAAAATCATAAATAAGTGCATTTAATGATTGCGGTTTGTTTCTCGGCATCCTTAAAATTAATTCCCGAGTAATTTTCTGTAAAGATATGGTCCTCCTTAAAGGAGCAAGCACAGAAAGAGGGTCCCAAAGAAATCCACTACATCCTATCAGGTCCTTCGACTTAGCATTTTTTCATTTTTTTTTTCCCAACAAAGTGTCAAAAAACAAAAAGAATACCATATAGTAAAACATCCATTTCTTACTAAGTGTAGATAAGCAAACATTCCAATGTCACCGAAGTAAAGTGGCACAGCTGTGGATGCCAAGGATGTGCTAGCACAACTTACGTATGCAGAGCTATAAAACAAGGCCAACACATCAACTTTCAAGTGACCAAATCGCATTCATAGATGAGCGATTGCATAAACAAGAATGGCTAACACACCATGGTGGCACTGCACGTATATATCGTATTGGGAGGCATTATTATGCTTACTTACCATGTTAGAACCTATACCTCAACTATGACTTCAAGCTCCTCTCACCCAGTCAGTTGGGGATAGAAGTAGCAAGTTTTTGGCAAAACTAATTTCAGGTAACCATTTACTTTAATACTAAGTTTCCCATACGCAGAAGGAGAATGTAAAAGCATCAGTTTCATAAACTAATAAGATCAATTCTACCTCCTCTGTAGAAGATTTGCAAATGCCATCTCTCTACTTTTGTAGACTATTCCGCATGCAAAATTGCGTTTACTCCATAATAAATGGAATACAATTAGTATATCAAGTGCTATCCAGTGGCTTGATGGTAAATCTCGTATATTGTTAAATGACGTGTATTCGGTCCGAGTCCACCTATGTGTTTCATGGTTTCCTTTACAAGTTTCCTGATTAGAGAGGCTCTTGTGAGTGCGCACGGAGCATGTTGTGTCACATCATTTGCAAACAACAAATCAATTGCAATCTGTGAACTCAAAAAAGAAAAAATGAACATAAATTGGCTCAAAATGCGCCAAGTCACAACTAGGGAGCACATCAATCTACGTAGCACATGGATTGGAACTATTGTTCCTTCCGGTGTTTTCCAAGTATAAATCAGACCAACACCAATCACCCGTAAGATTCCTATTGGTAAGGGTAAAATATGCTCACCCCACTAAGAATGACAATTATACCCATTTGGATAAAATGCTTGGTCACATGCTCGCTACAAACCAATGTGCATGTATGCCAATGACATGGCATGTTTTGTACAGAAGTGATTAGGTCAAACTCTAAACACCCTAAGAAGCACTGACACGGATAGGACACAACACAGACATGACACTCAAAAAAGTAGGACATGGACACGTGGGAGATGCGCTATAGATAATTGTGTTTTATGCATAAACTTATATAATTTATCAAAACTATAGTGATAATGACATATTGTTCGTAAAAAAATCAGCACTTTATGATAAGTAAATGTTAAATCTACTCCTCTACTGTGAATTTTTAGACCAACATCACCATAGTCAATAATCATCAATTTGTTCATAGACTTATACTAAACATATATAATTTAAATGATTGTTCTCATTTTCTCAATTATTTTTTCCTAAATCTTTAATTTTATCTTTTACTTTTGTTATTATATTTTAAGTACAACTTTAACATGTTTAGTTTTGGTAATTGTATGTTTTCTCATAGTATAAGATACTTATTAGTCATATTTTAAGCTTTGTTAATCACATGTTTATTGCTTAGTAGTAGACACAGTCTAAAGAAGTGTCGGACATATCACCAAAGAAGTGTCGGACACATGTCGGAGGAGTGTCGGTGTCCGACAAAACAAATACTGCTCAAAATGATACTTATCTAAAGTTAAGATGTGCATAGATCCAATACAACCAAAATATTGCTTTGCTGAGCAAATTTGGTTGGTCATGAGATGTTATATTTTTTGTTTAGCACTATTTAATCTTGACTGGGGGAAGAATTGTACTTGATAATAAATGCTATTCATTTTCCTTATTGAGTTTATAGACATAGGATTCACAATAATATCAATTCTAAATCATACACAAATTGTTCTTTCTTTCCCTATTTTTCCTTTGCTCGCAAGGTGTTTCCAAGCCTCTAAAAGCACCTGACCAATTTGTCCATATCCCCCATCTGACATGTACAAGCCAACGGATAAACAACTAGGGATGGCCAAAAAAGTTTTGGAGATTAGGTTTTTTTTTTTTTTTTTTTTTTTTTTTTTTTTTTTTTTTTTTGGGGGGTGGGGAAGGGAATTCAAGTTAAATCATCTGCCTGCCCTTTAAAATAGTGTCCTGACCATCTCACCTACTCCCTATGGTAAGTCAAGAAAGATATCTTAAAGACAAACAAACCAGGTTTGAAAATTGCACTAAGAAATGTTACCGGCATCAATTCTCTTAATTGGTACAGGAAATCAAGACTTTTAACTCCTACAAACTAGATCTCCGAATTTAGACAACAAATTAGACAGGCTATGCACAACTCGTGTCTAACTGCTTGCCAAAATTACTCATCTGAACAGAAGAAATAACCAAAAATTTAGCTCATAGCTCCTATTTCAAGAAGTCGGCTAGACTTACTTTTAATTATTCAAAGATGTCTAAAGACAAATTTTAGAAGTCCTCGACAAGCTTAGTTTTCCCTCTTTCACTATCCCTATATTATGTCCTCTAATCACAGCAAGTCTCACCACAGTTCAAATCATATTTGGTAATAGATCACAAGAAGATGACTAAGAAATTGGAATAGCTTTAGTGACTTGACTGCACGCACGCAAGGAGATTCATCAATATTTTTCTATAATAGAAATCTAATCTTTGAATAGGGTTTAAGTTAACATATGCTATACGTTAAGAGTCTTAACAGAGGTTGCACTGGAGTAGAACAAGTATTAGCCCACAGGGGCATGAAATATATTAAACATAGAAATGGATAATGGATGTGGGTATGTCACAATAACTACAGGTTGATATGGAAAATTCTCACAAAATAGGAAATATATTCGGCATAAATGACCAAATAAATTCTTACATCCATAATATGGTAAGAATTCTGCAATAATTAATCATACATTTTAGCTCCTATGTCATAAGTTATGGTTGTGTTGCATGAATATGAATGCTGGACAAGATCCAACACAATTAACATTAGCCCCTTACTTCTTTTTCTAAAGATGGTCCAAAATCCCTGAAACCCTTGTTTTTCCTTTCCATTTTGTTTTCCGGTTGCATCCCTATTTCTGAGGCATGTAGCTCACATGTATATGAATTGCTCTTCCACTTTGGCACCAACTCAGGAATATAATATTCAAATTTCTATATCTATGTACAAGGTAGTGGACATGTATCCAAGAGTATCAAAGGAGTACCCTTACACAGTTACCTATCCAATACAACTGAATTTACCCTGCATCTAGAAACAACATCGTCTCTGTGATTTCTCCACCCTTATCACAAACCAAGTCAACAAAGCCTTGACCCAACTTATTTGGGGCTCGCTATTTCTCCACCCTATCTAAGCTTTCCAAAGTAAAATACAGCCGACTCTTAGTCATTCAAGTAAGAATAGTGGTTTGTTGGTACTTAGACAAGAATAATTGGTGCATTGTCCAAAGTCCACCATCTGTTGAACTAGTTTTTCACTTAAATTTCCCTCAAAGATCAGTTAGACTGGTGATAACTGAACCTCTGCAGTAGAATGACTAGCAACGAGAAGATCGCCATCTGCCAATCCATGCACTTCTATGAGTATTGTGACACACAAGGTAACTGGACCCATGTCCATGCTGATCCACTTTAGTTAAAGTATCCAGAATAGATCTCCGTGAAGTGGGGGAAAAAAAAAAAAGGAAGCTCTAAAGGGGACACAGGACCTTCAAAATTTTACATGTTCAGTAGTAGTAAATGCATTGCAATAAATATAACTTGTGAATTAAAACATTATGGAATAAAGCAATTCCATCATGAGAAATATTTTGCTTCCAACCTCTGCATAATTTTGGAAAGGGGTATTGAATTAAAGTGAAGTGTATATAATAGACAAGTGGTGGTAGATGACCACCACTTCGTTTGTTTCCAATCCTTTGACACCACTGCCCACTAAGAGCAAGGAGTGTCTTCAAATGGTCATTCACATGGACTGTAGCAATCCATGAGCCCAAAAATGGAGTCAATTCATAAAATCATGATTGCACATATTTGCATTCCTAAATTCAGCAAGCTCTTCAAGAGGCTCTTATCTCTTTTTTAGCAAACCGAAGCCATTATAATATAACAAGTAGTTGATTAAGATGCATGCAAAACATCATGGGCTATAACTCTTAGGTGGCATGATCTTTAAAACTGTAAAGAGGGCTTGTATCCCACATCAAATAATTAGGGCCACCCAAGATTGGTTTATATGCTTGAGAGGCCTCTCCACTCACTTGCAATTAGTTTTTAGTTGGAAGCTCTAACATGATATCATAACTGGGTCTTGGTTGATCAATTGGTCAAGTCTCTGACTCCTTTGCATGTTTTAGTATGCACGCTTATTTGTTTCTTTGGTCGTCCCATGTACGACTCCCGGTCCCACGAGATGAAGGGTGTAAAAAGAGCTTATATCCCACATTGTATAATTAGCACCACTCAAGGTGGGTTTATATGCCTGAGGGGCCTCTCACTCATTGCCAATTGGTTTTGAATTGGATAGTCTAACAAACCTTCCCACCACCACCCCCCACTCCTTTTCCCAAAGAAAAAATAAATATGCCCAAAAAATAAAAAGAGAAAACTCCTTCCCCAAAAAAGGATATAATACATGAATGCCTAGCACTCCATAGAAAGTCTCTCATTATCTTATGTTGCAGTTTCCCCAGATCTAGACTTCTATCGCCACAGCTTTCTTAAAAGAAAATAAAACAAGTGACAACTCCAAAGAAACTCGAAACAAATTGTACTGCCATATATTTGCAAAAATAGAAAGTGTACTTTGCAATGCAAAGGTATAAGATACAATATATATTTTTACTTGCAAGCCCTAAATCAGTATTACATTGGTTACCTGGCACTTAATTAAGACTATTTAAAACTAACCTTACAATTTGAAAGCACTTATAACCTCAAATAGAAAGAGAGGTACAGAAACATAAATGCAAACGAAGCATGAAGGGTAACTCCATGAAAAGAGTACTGACGCAGCCAAACCTACAAGTTTCTTTCCAATTGCGGCAAATGACAACAGATGCAAGTTTGCAGATATAGTGACTCCCGGCAAAAGTCTAACAGAAAAAATGAGAAAAAAATCCACTGTGGGAAATCGAGGAGAATAAAACAGAACTCTAGTGTTTAGCAAGCCTAAGAATCCCCTCTTCCTGAATGATTGAAATAAACAAAATAACATAATAAAATTAATCCTTCACGAGTATTTACACTAGAGCCAGGAAAACTTTAGATACTCCTAACTCACTTCATCAACAGGACCTTCAAGTATAATCCAAAACATTGCTATGAAATTGTGGTTCAGAAAACCATAAGGAATACCAAACTAAGATTCGAACTCCACAGTCCAAAAGTACATATGATTTTGAATGTGCTTTGAACTCGGATCTGTTACCAACTCTGCTTCAATTTCTTGCCCATAGCCTATCTGATAAAAAATGTGGTAAGTATTATAGATGTCGTGGTTGCTTTTTCATGTAGTTTTCCCCTTCAACAGCACACAATGAATGAGACTATATCTGCCCAGTGGATCAAGTACAATCCCAAAGTTGTAACAACTAAGAAATGAAACTTGCCTCACCTAAATCCTCCAAAAATCAGTAATCTAAATTTCCAAGCAACACGCAATATAAATAAAATGCTAGCGACATTACCGTCATCTATGAAGCATGATTTCTTCTGCTAGGGAACCTATCCACAAGTGTATTGGCTGTTGATAATCCTTTAACAAGGAATCAAATTTGAAAGTACCTAAACTACTTGTCAGATAAGTAAAAATTAAGATACCTCAAAGATTAATCTTGTTAGTCCCAGGTCAAGGGCCAAGTGACAAAACCCACAGCTTATTGACTTCAATTTTAATATTGTAAGTTAGAATCTTAGAATATTTTCCAAATTCATGTAACATCATAATTTGCCGTCGTAATGATAGATGTGTAAGAATATACGAACATTCAATTTATATGAAAACATATATCTACAAGTGTGTATATAAAGTATAAACAATGTTGTTCCCATATCACTGTTTCTTGCTCTCTTTTATTTTTATTTTTGGCTGAATTTGTCGTATTAGCACATCTAATATATCGTAATTCGTAAAGTATGTCATATCCATGTTCATGCCTCAGGGCACTATTGGTGGTCATTTTGCAGCATTGTGTCGTTTTTAATCAGCCATTTTCAGACCTAAAAATGCAACACTATTCAAACAAAAACAGCATAAACTCTTTTCTTAATAAGATACGAGATGAGAATATACAGGAAGGTCTCCTCAATCAGAAACAAGTGAAGAGATCTGAATACAAAGAAGAAAACAAAGCTAGAGACAAAAAAAAGATGTAACAAATCTACAATAGAGGGTCAACCAATTAACAATAAGACCAAAAAACTCCAAGAAACTATGCTCTTGCAAGATCATCCATTCCAAACCGACTAGAAAATATTTACAAAGTATATAGAGGAAGAGAGGCAAAATGGCTCTTGAACTACATATAAAAATACATTATCACAAATATATTCACCTTTTCTGTACGGCAATTAGGATCACAACTATGGTTTACAAAACGCCCCAAATTCCCTTTAGTACATGCATCTATTATCTGAAAAAAGGCAAAGAGTAAACAATTATAGTAGAATGAAGAAATTATGGTAAAACAACCGGCCAACCATAGAGAAACATACCAAGGCAAATTTACTATAAATCAAAAGGCTAGACATATGCATGCATGCAAAATCAATGAATAAATAAGTATGCATGCATTAATGCACATATAAATGCGTGTGTGTGTGAAATTGTAAGACGGTTCTGATTGAAATGGAAACTACATTTTTCCTTTCTTATTTTTTTCACTTGGCCCATGGGCCGGGGAGTGGAAGGGGAGGGTGGTTCAATTCTTAAATGCTTAAGATACCAACTAAGAAGTCCAAATATCATATAGAACTCATTTGAGGTATCATATAGAAAGCAGAAAAATATGAAAACATAAATATGCCAAACGATCCTTTTAGAGTATCACAAATGAAATAAACAAAGAGCTCCATGACATCAAACATGTCGGAGTACAACTAACTAGTCTGGAAGTGGAAGTTCCTACCCACCACAAAAAAAGGTACAAAAACCTTCCATTTTTCCACAGGCTTCCTGCCAACAGAAAAGATCCCACTAATTCTGAAAAAGTGAACAAACCTAAAATTCTGTGCACCGTAATAACCTCACAGTCTTACCGCACTTAACCAATCCCTAAACTCACTAAAACCACCAACACAAACATTGACATACTTGAACTACCAAAGCTGCCCCTACCACACCCAATGACATGATTTGCCCACACCAAATCCAGTAACATGTGAAAAGTACCAATAAACGACACAACAATAATACAGACCAAGACAAACATGCATCTCTCTCCTCTCTCTGTGCATGTATGTGTGAGAGACAGAGAAAAATATCTCCATTTAATCAGATAAATAGTAAAAAGATTCATCTACCAAAGAACAACAAAAGTTGAAGGAAATGTTGTTAACAAAACATTATTGTCAACTTAAACCTCCCCAGAACCAGCAATCATCCCTCTATGGGCATTATGTTCACTCAGTTGCAACAAATTCCATAATTTCAAGTCACAGAAGAACCTTGAAATGAGGAATTCATTGAACTAAAAGAAATCCCACATAGCATTATGAAAATTTAAGCCCATGCTAATCGCAAAATAGTTAATGCATACAAAGCATTTCGATTACAATTCATTATAATCATTATTAACTTCAGATTTCCAAACCTCACTGCCATTCAATGTCATGAAGTAAAAATGCTTATGACCCTTCAAAGCATACTCTCTTTGCCGTGTCTCGTAAGCATGCATATCAAGCACCTATAAGAACCATAAACAAAGAAAATATCATGATAACGAATCAACTTCAGTAGCCCAAAACTAAGAAGCTAAAATGGAACAGAGACTTATATGACAATATCAAGAAAAGCATAAAAATTGCTCAATGTAAGTCCATCTCAGGCATCGTTCAGGCAATTTCCTTCTAATGCAGAGTATACTTCTTACACAGGGAGCCACTCTATGGATAAATTCCTCTCAGTTGGGTTACCCAAAAGAAAAGGGGGAAAACCTATATGGTAGTAAGACAGAATGTAACTTTCATAAAATTAAATTAAATGCTAAAAGAATATCCTCTAACACCATCTCAGTCCAGCTTAAAAGAAGAAAGAAGATCACCTAAGTGATGCAGCTTAGCATAGCAACTCCATATAAAATACTCTATGTGCTGTGCTAACAATTTTTAAAAAACAGCACAACATGACTCCAAAATTTGTTAACCAGCCTCAGATGTTCATCCTTAATTTTTATCTCAGATTCAATGTTTAGCTGTAGAAATACAAGCTGGTGATTTAAGCAAAGTGACAAGTTACCTCTCCAACATATTCAATCAGAAATTTTCCTTCAGATATATCTTCTAGCAACTGCAGCCCATAGCCCTTCTTTCCACATTTGAACCACTTCAATTTAGCATGCTTCCGTTTCTGGAACTGCACACAGTTGTATAGAGTAAATGTCCTTTAGATTAGAAGTACATGTGATAAATCCACCAAGAAAATCAGTAATCTTGTAGATAGGCTGAAGTACCTGTTGATTTGAGCATAGTTTCCCACATGGGCAGGTCCGTTGAAGACACTCAATGTTAAGCATCCGATTCAGGCATCCATCTCCACAACCCATTTGACCATCGGAAGGTGGTTTGCAGTGGCAAACCATTATCTGGTAGGAATGAATCAAGCACATGCAAAACAAAAATAATTCATTGACTGAAATCCCAAATGACACTCACGCACACAAGCACGCGCACACATAAACATAAGGGAAAGAGAGGGTGAGGGGTTTAAAGTTTTATATCACCATACCAGTACCACTGTTTAACACATAGCAAACCCCTCAAACTATCAATTGTTTTAACCCAAGTTCGTACTGTTAGAACATCCAACTCCAAACCAATTGATAATAAGTGGAAAGGTTCCTTAAGCATATAAACCAAACTTGTGTGGTCCTAATCATTAGAAGTGGGATACAAGCTTTCTTTACACCACCCCTAACGTGGGGCTGGGCTCGCAAATGAGGCTAACAAACAAACAGACAAACATGTATACTAAGAAATTCAAATGGGTAAGAAACTTGAACCATTAACCAACTAAGGCACATCTCTAATACCATGTTAGAACAACCATGCCAAAATCAACTGGCAATAGAGACGTCTCTTAAGCATAAAAATCAACCTTGGGTGATCCTAATCCTTTGATATGGACACAAGTTCTCTTCACACATGCACTATTGCAGTGTTCCAATGGTATTTAATGCATTTTATGAAACCTCTACAGATGCTGAAGTTTAAAGTTAAAAACATATTCACTATTGTTGCTCCCTTTTTTATCTGTACTATTCATCCTAAGATCACAATTGAAATCAGAAGAGTATACATACCACCAGGTGTAACAAAATATTTAGTAATGGCATAAAAGATGTATGTCTCAAAAAATAATTCTAAAAATATCTGGAAAAAAATGTGTATTACAATGAAGGCTATCAAATCCCTTACGTAATGCTGGCCAATTTTAAACCAAGTTATAAAAATCACATATATGTTCTTTCTGTGGATGTTGAATAGCACATGTATACTGCCTCTCACAGTTTTTGTGAATGTGTAATATAGAATCATTTATGTGAATGCTCAATCTACAATCAATTACGTGAATGCTTAGTCTCGTACATCTATACTGCCATAATTAACAGCATATATGTGTCGATGTGTTAGAGTATACTCAAAATCAATTGACAAAGGATGAAGTAACTCCTTAGATATATAAACCAACTTCAATGTGTACCTAATCTTTTGATGTTGGATACAAGCTTTGTTCACACCCTCCTTCACATAGGACTGGGGTTCGCATGAAACTAATAAATCGAATTGAACAAACAAATATATTTGAGCTGGAAGATAAATAGACCAGGGAATTCAAATTAGTGAATTACATGGCCCACTAACTACCCAAAGCCTCATTCTGATTACCATGCTAGGAATTCAACCCAAAACTATTGATAATGGGGAGGAGTGACACCTCACGTATATAAACCAACTTTTAGTTTACCTAATCTTTCGATACGTCGATACAAGTTTTTTTCATGAAATATACATGGACAAGAATAGTAAATTTTGTTGGTAACAAAGATTAAAGGACATAAGGGAGTAGTCCCCGGAAAGGAAGGGGGAGAACAAATATCACAAAAATGATTTTCGATCCATCCTAATCAAACACAATAAACACGGGTCATATGTTTAGACATCTAGATGGCCTATGATCATGTGCATTTGGGCCTTTCTTCCCATTCGAGGGTGTGGTTTGGTGTTAGATGAAAGATATGGATTGAGACCCATATTCCTACAGTTTGGTTTTCCATTCTTATGAAAAGCACTCTAAAAGTCTTCTTTAAGAGTTCCAAGGCCCTAGATAAGGGGACCAATATCTAGGGGTGCAACTTGGGTGGGCCAAACAAAAATTTAACCCGAACCCAACCCGAAAAAATAGTGTTAGAGTTGAGGTTTTTAGGGTTAGATTTAGAATTAGGTTCAACCCGAATTGAATTTGGGCAAGGCTTGGTTTAAAAGCTCACGTTCAAGGGTTTAACCCGAACCCAACCCGAATTGATGAAATCGGGTTTAACCCAAATTCATGTATTATATTTATAAAATAATATAAAAACAAAATATTTTTTACCGATGTAGGATAACTGGATAAGTAAAAAAACAAAAGAAAGATAGAGTTGTCAATGTCATCCCACATCGGATAGACAACTCAAATGACCTATCTCCTATCTTCTATATAAAGAAGGCTCACCCTTAATAAGTTGTCTTAATGTGTTTCATCTTAGTGGGTCATATAGGCCTATGTAATAATCCAACATTGTGTAAAGGCTCACATCTAATTTAGAATTAATGTTTGTTGAGCCCAAATTAGGTGACCCAATTTCAACCCGAGTGCCCGAACAATACTCGGGTTGAGTACCTTGGGTTGAATTAGGGCTAGGGTCAGGGGTACGATTGAAAATGTTATATCTAGGATTGAAGATTTTATACCTAGAGTTGGGTTAGGGTTGATCACTCAACCTGTCCAAGTTGCATCCTAACCCGTATCGCGCTTCCTTTTGTTTTATCGATGGACACTCTTAGCAAGATGATATTTAGAGTGATAGAAAGGTATGCTTTGAGGATTTGAGGTTGGGTGGTGGGTGAACTGGCAATTTATGTAGATCATTTGCTCATTTTCAATGTTAGCAAGCTGAGAAGATGCAAATACATTATTTGAGAAGTCTTTACGTTGATTTAAGCAATTACTAGCTTGAGGACTAATACACGAAACAATGAATTAATCCCACTTGGGAAAGTTGAGGACATCAATAATACCGGTTCAATTTTGGCATGCATAAAAAAAACTCTTCCTATTATATATTCAAGGCTTCATGTGGGTTCATCTTGTAAAGTTCTAAGTTGGTGGGACTTAGCAATTGAGAGGTTTTGATACAAATAATTGGATGAGAGGGGCATTAATTCTCTCAAAATCGCACCAACTCACTTAATTTGGAAACACTCGTTTTAGTGTGTTACCCTATGTTCAGAAGTGACTGAAGATGAAAAACTACTATAGTACTATTGTTATTTGGCATTCTAGTCTTCCTTCACCTTCCAAGGCCTACCGAAAGAAAATCCTTTACTTCTTCGTCGTGAATATCTTAACAGGTTGTTTACTATTCAAGAATTCTTGTTTAGGCAATTCATACAATCCATACACTATGTTTTGATCTAAAGGAGTCTCGGGAAAAACAAACATGATGTGCTCTGCACATGTTCGACATACTCTAAAACTCGTTTATTCCTCTCTCTCATTAGTCTGCATAAGGAACCCAAAATAACTTCACCAACTTTCTCATGGCATCAAGAATGCGATTGAATAATAATTACTCAACTTCCCCCCTTACTCAAAATGGTTTGTTGTTCTGTTTCATGAAGCTCTTTTAGGTAAGTGCTCAAGAGATTCAAAGGCGCAACTCTTGGCTACAAGATGAGAGTTGGTTGAAAATAAAGAAGTATGAGAGGGTCAGAGTTCCTTACGAATTAGGCTTGTGAAAGAACATCATGAAAGCTGGAACAAAATTGTAAAACAGATTAGATTTAAGGTGGATCGAGCATAAATGAGATTCTAGTATGCATTATTATGGTAGAGAGCCTTTGAACGAGAGGCTTCTAGATCTATTTGATATAGACTAGCAAATGCTATAGTGGCAAAATACATGAGTGTGATCTCATATTGTCGATTCAAACCCAACCTTTCAATAGGCACTTTCATGATTAGGAGTCAAAAGGTGTTGATACTTTCCCGAATGACCACTATCCCGAATGACCACTATAGAGCAATCGATTATCTAAAATTTCAAGGATCGCTTTATTTATAGAGATTTGCGAGGAGAACACTCTAAGGGGGGCCTTGCCTTCTTAGAGAGATATAGCTATGATCAGGCCAAGATTTTCCATACGGTCTAGAGATCTAGTTGATGCTTGAAAGGAGTACATTGATATCCTTTTGGCCATTAGATCCCTCCCAAGGTGGCTTTCTTCATTCAGAAAGAGCCTTTGGAGGGTATTTTAATTATTCAAGAACTAATGCACGGGGGGCAAAATCATGTCTTATTGGCGTTGCATGCTGAAGGATTTTGATATAAGCGTATGCCCAAATTATGCCATTAAATTGCCTAGCAGCTAGGAAGTTACGGGTGTTGGTGTCTTCCCCATTCGGTGTGGCGTAGGTGATGGCCAAATTGGTAGTGGACTTATGCGGTCTTGAAGTAGAGCTTGTAGTAAGAGTCAAGTTTTCAAGGTTTAGGTGGGACCATGAGAGTTGCTCTCTACTTTGGTGGAGTTATTGGGTTGGAGCGGAATCACAAACAATTTGAGGATGTTGAGGCATTTGTTTTGGGCCTAAAGAAGAGATTGAGTTTTTTTTATTAGTTTTTGGGAATGCATTATTTACTAGGAGTTACTTCTATGCAGACTTTTGGACTTTAGAGCACCCTTTGTATGTAGTATAGGGATTTTGTTGTTTGTTTTGTTCTTCTTTACTTTGTATACATCCTATATACATGGACAATGTCAAAATATCGTTTCGGCACTATTGAAATGTTTCGGAAACATAATGAAAACGAATAAAAAATTTAGGAATTTTTTTACAAAACATTTCAAATCATTGGTATAAATACATCTAAACATCTTGAAATACCTCGAAACATTCCGAAACAGAAACATGGTAAAACATCTCGAAACATTCCGAAATACCTTAAAAGTTGAAACAACTTGAAGTATTGGAATTTTGATTCAATTATTGATTCGTTTCGGTGTTTTTATCGAAACAATATTTTGATCCTTGAACATGGGTGATGCCTTCTTAATGCTTCTAGTGATGCATTTTTGCTCCTTTAAATAAACACACATAAAAAGTAGGAATGTGATGACAATTAGGTCACAGACACCAAAAAGGATGAAAGGTAACATGGATAGTTTTTAGGGATGGGAGAATGATTACAAGCACACAAATAGAGAACTGTAATAGAACTACCAGTTTTCTCACCCCTTCCCCTAGTAATTTAGTGCTTAAAACCATATTGCAAACTAAAGCATTGCAATCTCGGCCAGAAACCTTGCCGGTGGGAGAATCCAAACTCAACAAAAACACATTTTCCAGATGTTTGTGGATGAGTGCTCTTGGACTAGTCGGTCTAACCTGAATCTACGTGCCTATAACTTTGTTTCTAAGGAAATTCGCGCAGCAGAAGATCTAGAATTTGAGACTTTCTACACCAAAAATATTCTCTTAAATGAAGGTATCCGTGCTTAGATACACATCTTCAATCATGTCATATTTTCACCAGAATATAATAGTCCTTTTCATTTTCAACCTTTCCACTCCATTGTCCCATGGGAGAATTTTCTTTTTCAGACAAGTGGGAGCAAAAAATTATATATGGATGCTAAGAGAGTGTCTCCAAACTACGTTTTACGAACGAAATGTACAAAAACTAAGATGGCCCCATCTCCTCCAAAAGTTCCACAAATTGAACAAAGCCCAAAGGGTTGAAATCCTTCATTAATAAAATAGAACTTACAAAAGAGGTGGCTTTACTATAATTTTTCTAGCATCTTTGACACATTTCCCAGCATCTAAGCCGTACACATGTTCAAAAGAATCGAAACACCAGAACCACTATATAGTAGCATCTATGGTAATGCCACAGCAGGTATTTTGTGATTGATTTGTGGCAATTGACGGAGTAAGTTCATCCTAAATTCAATGAAGTTTACTTAATGCAATGAAGAAAGATTCAATAAGAGCCACGAGTGATTAAGTCGGTTATTTTAATTCAGTCAGGCACTAACCTCGTCAATGTTTTGAGTTTTGCGGTTCCGATGTAGAAATAAATTTGACTTAATCAGCATCCAAGAGGACTGTTGAACAACTGCAATGCAGTTTAAATTGTGTCAGAGTTCAAAGCATGAAATGCATATATATCGTAGAAGGGCCAGCCAAAAATCAAGCTCAAATGTACTGTTATTACCATGCTATTAATAGCACAAAACAATTACCTGTTGATTGCAATTGTCCCAATCTGTTAGAATTCAAGAGGGCATCACACATGTCTTCCCCGCAAGAGGCATTTGATATTTCTAACTCTGCATTAATTTCTGCATTTGACTTCTCTTGAGGGATTGAGCAGTCAGCAAAGTCTTTATCCATGTTATCCTTACAAGTCCTTTAAGGTGAATCACATATAACATTATAAGTTGCCAAGATGTACAGTGATAGGCATCAAATCTCCAAACTCATGATAATAGACAAAAGAAGGATAGGGTCTGAAAAGAATTAGGCCACCATGGCCCACTAAAGCTCAATCTTTCATAATTTTTCATGACACTATAATAAGAAGAAATATTTAGTCATGTCACCCATCAGAAAAGAGGATCACTTCAATACATGTACATTTATATGATTATTTAACTTACAATTCTTATGCTTTTCTTTTCATACATTCAGATTATTGAGCTTGTACTCAAGTATAATCCCTTAGCCTTGATATCCTTCATAGGCTTAAAGTAGAGTGGGGCCAATATTGGGAAAATGCAGGAAATATATGAATGCATGCTACATGCCTGTCAAAATCATATTACACAAGACATGCATCCACTGCTTTAGTCAATTGATTGTACCTCTAATAATGCTTCCTAGAATGTGGTGCACTAAAAGTAATCACCTTAAAAGTATACCAAAAATGTAATAAATCCAGAGTTGAAGTAAATAGCAAAAGTAAGAAAAAATCTCGTCAAGAACATTTTGTCAAAATTGTAAGAATGATTTTAGAAGAACTAAATATTACAAAGAAATGACATATAGCTTTGAATTTTTTACAAAAATCAATAGGATACATCGAGATACAAGTAATACGTGTAACACAGCCAAACTATAAGTCAAGTTAAGTTTCTCAACTCATGATACCCTAACATGAAGTTGTTTACCCACACTTCACCCCTAATCTGCGTAGGCTGTAAGATTCAATCAGACCAAAGCGCAACCCCACTTAGGCTTAAAGGCCTTCCAATATAAAAGCCTTTGGAAGGCTTTGGTGGATGAACCTCAAGAAGTGAAAATTTTTTAATTTTTGAATTTTCAAATCTTAGATTGGGGCAAGGCTTAAATTTCAGGAAAAGGTTTGATTTAGTTATTGGAAATTATTCAAGACCTTCTTTTTGTGTACGAAGTCAAGTTACTTAAGAATGTGTTAGTGAAAATCAAATCACAAACTCATTATATAATGATTCTATAAATTAAAGAATCAAAAAAACTTATATTCTCCCATCATTACACATTTTTTAAGGATGCCTATTAGTAAATTGCATAAATCATGAAAACCTTTCAAATCCCACCAAGTCAAGGAACCCTGTGGTAGCTGAGTATAAGCACTCAATCTACCCGCAGCAGATGCTGCAGATCGAGAGGTGGCCATTCACAACTTTATGCGGTCCATTGCATATAAAATTAATAAAGCAGGGACAAGCTTCATGTTCTTGTTCCATACAAGAATGTATACAGTTGAAAACGATGACAGACCTGGAAAATAAAGATGGAAGGCCCTTTCATTTTGCCTTGTAATCCCCAATGAACAAGAATTTTGCTTTCATTTTCTTCTTTTTCCCTTGGTGCTCTCACTTATCTTGGTCCCACTCGGACTTGGAAGTAAGATTTCTTGAAGAAATAGACACTTCAAGCCAATTCTAATATGCATGTTCGGTTTTCTAAACGAGAGGTTGGGGTAGTTCTTTTCCTTTTTCTCGTTTCTCAAAATGTTCCTGAAATTTCAATTTGCTCTCTTTCCTCATTTTTTCTTTTCCAAGGACACGAAGATTTAACATTTAAAGAATAGTTTTCCCAATCAAGTAGAAAAATAGCTAACCAAAACCTAATAATATGGCAAAAGTTTGTACTTATAATAGTTCCAAGTAACTAAAAAAATAAGTCAATATCAACCAACAAAAGAAACTTGTTAGAATTCTCTACTTCAAAATCCTACTCCATCGCAATTATATCTTCTCTAAGGCTAAACTTCCATTTCCACAATTTTGCTAACAATTTGTATTATCAAAAGCAAATTATTTACCCCCGACACTATACCCATGGAGGTTGGCATATGTTTGACCAAGGTATTAGCAAACATGTTGCCAAATGAACAAGCTATTGTTGATTAAGATGGCGAGGGCAGTTAAAACATTCCCATCTTCTACTAATCCCTTCCAAAAATATGCCACCTCAACTACACAATCAAGTTATGCAAATTACAGTTTCCTAATGTATCTCAAATTAGTAATGCTGTTTAAGTAGGCATCATAATATACCATCTGCAATTAGTTTCTTCAATATAGTCCGCAAGCGTAGCTTGTATACGCCTCCATTTACAGCAGCTGTCACAAAGTACCCAAGCACTCCGTGGGGTTACATTTTGCTCTGCCATCCCACTGGGCATCACATCCAGGTTATAAAGGTCCCCGGTTGAACTTTTCTTCCCATGTTTAGTTTCTCCAAGATCATCTGATGCGTGATTCCCTACAACATTAACTTACTTAGCCCCTGATAGAGACGCAATTTAAATGCTAAAACAAACTCCATTCTTTTAAAAAGAAAATGTGCATATTTAAAAGAAGACAGGACAAATCTGACAGGATAAGATAGCTAGTATGAAAAAAGCATAATAGAGTTTATTACACCTGTTTCTAGGTGACTTTCTACTTTGCAAACAGCTTGAAAACTATCACCCTTCTCCATGACTTTGCACTTACTAACTGACTTAGATTGATTCTCCTTTTGTCTACGAGCATTTCCTCTCCTGCTTGCTGAAACCGCAACTTCTGACCTGCTCTTGCTCATTCCCCTTGATTTCGAACTTTTGGGAAGTTTTTGATCCCTAGTATGCCTATGAGAGAGCAATGGCTCAGATATCTGCAATCCTGGTGACTCAAGCCTGGAACATAGATCAACTTCTGTACCACTTTCAACTTTCAAAGTATCACAGGAGACTCCAAAATTGGTACCTCCTGACTGGGGCAGCGATTTCCTAGAAAAATTGCCACTGCTAGATGTGTTGCCAGATTCATTTCCGGTTGTAGCTAAAATAGAAGCCCCACTGCAGCCAGAACCATCTCCAATTTTCTCTCTCTGTCCATGTTCATCAGACACTTTGTCACTGTTTATGACCTCTGGAAAAAGTATTCTACTTTCAACACTGCAATTACCTGCCTTGTGGAGCTTATCTTTCTCCTTTCCTTTCTTACTGCTCATCTGTGGAGGACTGGAACTTGTAACGTCACCAGAAACAACACATTCCTGGCAGGAAATTAGAACATCCTGCAAATCTCCTGGGGTTTTTTCACTGATTTGGCCATCTGGAATCACGTTGATGACCTCAGAATCAGGTGAAGTTCCAGGATCTAAGCACCTATTGTCAACTTTCACAACCAATCCTTCAACCTCTTCCTGGAAGGGTATTCCACACTTATTATCTGCAGCACAACAGAACCCTGAGCCCCTAAGTGCCTCTTTCTCCAATTTCTCGTAAGCGCCCTCAATCAATTTGGGACATCCAATCCTGGTCCCACAACATTTGTCGAGATCATTCTCAATAATAGGAACCACATCCGTTAAACAACTTTGGACCACTCCTTTCCCCAGTTTAATCTTCAAACGGATGCGACCAGTTGAAGCACCGGTTATTCCCCTTGACCTTTGAGAGATTTGACCCGTCCGATTCTTACTTCGCTTTACACCTTCCCCGCCACTTCTATCTTTTCGTGATTTTTTAAGCTTATTTTGACCAACATTGAGCCCGGTATTCTGCTCAAAAGCTTGTGCAATATACCCCAATGATCCCCACACAAATGAACGTGGTCTTCTGGAGAAACAGCTTCTTCTTCTTCTTGTGACCTTCAAGAAAATTAATTCTAGCAATGCTTTCTTGTTAGTTGTTTTCCTGAAATCTCTTCCGGCTTTTTTGGTCCGAGTGTTTTGGTTCAATCTACTCATGCAAGTACTCCTACTCTGAGGGTATGAACAAATAGAATCGAAGCCTTTCGTCTCAGAAGCATCATCAGATGTAACATTATCTTTTAATTCATCATCTCTCTGACCAGACATTTCAGCTATGCTGACAGAATTAAAAGCACCAACAAGGACATCGGTTCCTAAAGCATCTTGTGCATCCAAGCTCCTAGAAGAATCAGTATTAACTACAGAAAAGGGCTCATATGATTCCAAAGACACAGCTAATTTTTCCTCTGGACAATTAGGATCCAGGGCAGCTAATCCCACCATATAAGGGAAAACATTTCCTCCCAGAGATGCATATTTTCCCACAGTACAATCAGGGACCATTGCACATGAAGCTTCCTTGTAGTCAGGGACACTTATTTCTACAGATGCTGTGTGTGGAAGCATGTCAACCTTTAACCAGGTTGTTAAATAAGAAAAAATACCTCGAAATCATACATCCATGTACTGAAAGAAGCAAATGGAGCCATCAGAAACCTCTGAAAATAATTAATCAAATATATTCGACATAAGCAGTATATGTCTATTACCAATACAAGAGTGCTCTTTTACATTAAAAACAATGATTTTTTTATGGGTGATTGGGGGATTTGTTGGGGGGGG